TTGTACACTTTCAATTTAAAAGCCGTAACTAATAAATATCTTTAAGGAACGCTGAACGAAATGTGGTCCATATGTTGAGGATATTTTACTAGTAATATGTTTAAGGAACGCTGAACGCAATGTGGTACATATGTTGAGGTTATTTTTTACCTGATGTGAGTGCATAACAGTTTTTTTTTTAACTCACCAACAGTGTATGTATTATGTGATGCTGTTTTATATATCATTGTTTAAACAAATACCTGAGATTTTTAAAATTCTGAAACCTTTATTGCAGTTAATAAGGAACATTTACCTTTGTTTGTTTTCTCGCACAGCATATTAGATATGTATACAAACACGTTGCACATTTATATCAAATAAATAGAAGTATTCATTTGTTTCAGCCTCAAAATTTACTGCTTACAAGTACTTTCCCTCGTTGTGATGTGAAATTGTGTGATTTTGGAATTTCTCGCTTGATTTCAAAAGGAACCGAGATTCGAGAGATTCTTGGAACACCAGATTATGTTTGTAAGTTGATGAATATTTACTGATATGTACGAGTTTAATGCCTTTAAAGAATATATGGTTAAAGCTTTAGCTATAAATGTTTCTACCTCTGCATTTCAAAAGTATTGGTAATAGAAATTTACTTCCCAGTGCTTAAACCTACTAGAACATGAATTATATCCTGTAGAATTAATTATGATAAATTTTTTTCCCTTTACTTCATGCACTAATTAGATGTGATTTCTAATTATGTTTTGTTTTTTCAGCACCAGAAATACTTCAGTATGAACCAATTTCTCTAGCCACAGATATGTGGTAAGTTTGACGACTTGTTTATGTTAGATTAATGTTCTACTAGAAATGTCTTACATATTTTATTACCAGAACTAGTGAGGCATCACTCCCAATAGAAGATGTCGTGTCTTAACTGCTGGGGCCCATATTAATAAAGATTGGACTTCCTTTTAGAGTTAATTACAACCAACATGGGATCTTTTACTAAACGTTCTCACTGATACATGTTTGGTGGAACACACATCCATTCTTCTGTCAGAGTTAGTTAGATTTCATGGTATGTCCATGAGACAGCATTTCTAACCATCCATTGTCATATCAGAATGATGATTAGCTTGCTGAAAGAAATATGTCCCTTCCACACAGAATTCATTTCATCCAGGTAATACGGCATTGTAAATAGTGTCACCAAATGTTTCCTTTGACCACCACCAGTTGATTAAATATGTAAACTAGGCCCAACAGGTATCTTATCGTACTTAACTACTAGGCCCAAACAATCATACTATTTCACTAATAGGCCCAGACATTGTACTAACCTGCTACACGTCACTGTTGTTCCCAGAATCACTTTACTGTTTGACCCAAACAACATGTTTTCTCTAGACCAAACAGTGCTTGATTCCACGTGTATGGACCATTACTTCCAGTGTATTTATGTGATTGAGCAGGTTGACACCCACATCATCAAATCTTGACGTAAAAATCAGTTATGTCATCTTGACTTCAACAGGCTGTATGTAACAGTATCTAATCTTTATAAACCCTCTACATAGCAGTGTACCGTATAATTTATAGACAAATTAGTGGGACTGGGTCTGTTACTAGGTGTGGTTGTACTGTCCTGGTTTGTTTTGCTAATGATATATTGCATAAACAATGTACTGTACTGTCATGACATTATTATATCTTCACTATGCATTGTGTATTAGGTAAAAAGTGATTTATATTTATTTAAATAACAAACCTAACATCATTCTAGTATAGCTTTGATTTAGTCTTCATTGCTGCTTTATAAAAATCAAATAGCAGTAACAGTTAATGTTCCCTAAAATTTTTACACAATAAACCCTATTGGATCATTAGGCTGCTTTGAAATGGTACCAGTTGGTTATTTGGGCTTTAGGCCTATCAACTGCCAGGGTCATTAAGGCTATCAACGTGTTCAATAAATGTGCATGTCTAGAATAATGATGTACGTGGCACTTGATTGGTTGTTGTGCAGCTCAGAGGGAACACTGGTAACAATCCTTTTTTTAACTATTCAAACAAAGACTAAATTATGTGGTATTCTGATCAAGACTGCATAGAAAGTTAACGACGTGTCTTAGCTTTATAATTTGTGCTTTTTTATGGAAGCATTCAAGTTCCAAGTCATATATTTAGTAAATGTTTTTTTTTATAAATGTACATTAAACAAGAGATAATTATTGTATTTTCAGGAGCATAGGCGTTCTAGTGTATGTTCTTTTGTCAGGACACACACCTTTCACTGGTGAGACTAAACAAGAGACATTTTGGAATATCACTAGCGGAATACTGGATTTCCCAGAAGAATTATTTGGTGGTGTATCAAATGATGCAAAAGATTTCATTCAGAGGTTATTGATCACTGAACCAAGGTAAGCATTAGACACACACCCATTAGTCAGCAAATAGGTCTGATTGGGTTATTATGATAATGATAATACCAGGATTGTGATCATTAAGTTAAATTTGTGTAGGTTGATTTGTTTACCAACATACCTGGCACAAAAATAAGTTGTACCAACCTTACTAACACTAACAAGTCAATATGTCCAGCATAAAAACAAGTTGTACCAACCTTACTAACAGTAACGCTGGACATACTGACTTAACAAAAACAAGTTGTACCAACCTTACTAACAGTAACAAGTCAGTATGTCCAGCATAAAAACAAGTTGTACCAACCTTACTAACAGTAACAAGTCAGTATGTCCAGCATAAAAACAAGTTGTACCAACCTTACTAACAGTAACAAGTCAGTATGTCCAGCATAAAAACAAGTTGTACCAACCTTACTAACAGTAACAAGTCAGTATGTCCAGCATAAAAACAAGTTGTATCAACCTTACTGACA